GGGGGCCCCCCCCCCCCCCCCGGGAATTATTGCTGTGTTTGGCCCATTTTCGTGATCTTGTCCAAGTTTCTTGCAGGCTTTTGAGAGCCTTTTTGTTTCAAATGTGCATTGTCACCCTACCGCTAGTTTTACCGCTAGATTCTGTCGTGACAAAGAAATACGGTAGATCAAACTTCAGTGGTTTGGGGACAAAAATGGCTCGACTCCCAGATTTGTTCTCTTGAAAAATGATAAATGAAAACAAAACTCATATTTCACGAAGAACTGAGTGCTAAATTCTAGTTTCGCAGAAAATTATCATACACTTGAAGCGAAAATAACGTTAATATTTAACAGTGTATAGTTATCAACGGGTTCAAATACTGGAAGTCCATCATCAAAAGGAAAAAGAAATCGAAAAATTCTCAATGGTTACTTGGTTACGCGGACTGTTTTCATTTTCTTTCCAGTTGGACACAAAAAATGTAGAAACAAAGCGAGCGTAAAGTTGGAGGAAGAGAGGGGATGGGGAGATCGAGGGGTTTGGAGCAAAAGAGCACGGAGAGAGTTTATTTTAGATTAAGGAACAATTTTATGAGAAAATTGTTTTTCAAAGTTAAGGTGTAACTGGTATTATTATTTCTACGATGTCGGTCTCAGTTTCATTTCAGTAAATTTGAGTGAGAGCCAACCTCTGAAGCCGAACCACACAGTTGCTCGGCCGCCACTCTTTCCTTCTCCCAGGTATTTTCCGTTTAGATTGGAATAGAGGCAATCCTTGTACCACCAGGCGCCTGTATACGAAGCAGCACAGTCGAAAAAATCGGCTTCGTCATTATCTCTGTCCTTTGTGCTAAACGCCGAGTAATTTCCACGCTCTTTTAAAGAATCTCCCGCTGTACCTGAATATGAACCCACTTCAAGTCGATACTGCGCCTGCTCGTCACCAATGTTGAACTTGCCATATTTGGCATACGCTTTACCTCCGTTCCAGTCCTCTAGTTCCACTCGTAAAGAGCTGGGTCTAGAGGCCGTCAGCCTGTGGATTTTGTCGTTTCCTAACCAGAACTCAGCAGTCAGCTGACCAAAGCCTGCTTTGTAGTCGTCTCATCCCCGAAAAAAGTCTACCGAGCCATCCTGCCTTCGTTGAAACACGGTCCAACCTCCACCGTCAGTGCGCATGTCACAGTAGACACTGAAGTGTCCTGTACCGTCTGGGTTGATAGAGTACACTCCACTCTGAGTATGGCCTGATTTTAACAGATCTGAACAATCTGAGAAAAATAAGATGTAAGCTATCAAATCACTGACCTGATGTGGCCGGATTTTTGGTCGAGTTTGGGAACGGTAAATATACACATCAGGCTCGTTTGACCTCTTTGTGGGTATTCTGGCTCAACTGTGTCTCGCCAAAATATGAACCATTGTCGACCAAACTTGTGTGCTTTACAAAATTTCAAAGCATGAAGCTTACAAATCATGACGAATACTTGCACTATCATCAGCCGTTTTAAAGCCGTGCGCTTTAATTCGTTACAGAATTTGATTCTCTCGCAAATGATAAATCAGAAATGTTGTCGAATAAAAAAGTAAAGTTAAAGCACAAAATAAGCAGGAAGACCTGAAGTGGTGTGTGTTTTATTGAAGGAATTCAGACGCTTTCTAAAAAAGAAGTAGCAAAACACTCAGTTAATGCAGTCGTGCGCGATCCATAAAGCCAAAATGCAGGCTCAACCTGGGAGTAAAACCTCGTTTTACGCCGATTTCGCAAGAGATGTAAAGCTTTGTTATTAAACAAATAAAAATGGCTTGACCGTACTTTGTTCTGTTATAAAGCATTCAAGGAAGCGATGAGAACACTGTCCTATCGGCCCATCGACTCATACTTCTCCCTACACTTCTTTCGTGCTTTCGCCTCCAAAATACAGCATCAATATTGTGCATAGGGGAAGGGAAAACAAAAGTCATCAGGAATTACATGTACTCTCTTTTTGTGACAAAGGGAGACACTATATTCATAACTTACCTCTCGGTTTTCTAACTTCAACATCACTTATTGTCTCGATATCAAACACTCCTGCACTTGTAGCCACGCAAATGTAGTTTCCAGCATCCTCTCTTGTCACATCTCTCAAGACAAGGGCATTGTTTATCCTGTGACTCCTCCCCACGGGCAGTACTGCTCCTTGTCTTTTCCAACTGATGACTGGTCGTGGATCACCGATGGCGCTACAGTTCAAGGTTAAAGTGGTTCCAGGACCAACAAAGACCTTTCCAGGCGGTTTAACGGTAAACTCAGGAAGTGAAATCACAACTAGTACAGTTTTTCTTTCAACATTTCCTAAAATGTTGACCGCTGAACAGAAGTAGGCGTCAGAATCAACTTTACGGACATTTGAGATTTGTAAAGCAGTGTTGTTATACTGCGCCCTCCCCTGGGGTAACTGACCAGACAACTTCCTCCAGGTGACCACAGGAGCTGGGTATCCGGTCACGTGACAGATAGGTAAGGTGACGTTGCTTCCTTCAATGACGTGATAAGGTCCCGGATGTAGAGTAACACGAGGATGCACTGCAATCAAATGAAAAGCATTTAGTCTCATATTTGGACTTAAACATCGACTGATTTTCCAAAAAAACGAAATGTAGAACCACTCATAAGAAAAATAAACCATTCACAGTTGGAAAGCCCGGCACTCCCTTTGGCAGGAAATAATTCATTTTGTAATTATTGCTATCACCAGAAGCTTACCATTTACTGTCAACCGCGCCACTTTCCGTGAATCCCCCAGGATGTTTGTTGCTGAACACTGATACAAGCCTGTGTCACTTCCAGTCACGTGCTTCAACTGCAACTTTTCTCCTGAAACCGCTGACTGAATGATTTCTGACTGACTGTCCAGTTTACTCCACGTTACTGCAGGCACAGGATTACCGCTTGCTGAGCACTGAAACGAGGCTGAGCCACCTTCGTTCACTGTCAACATCACGGGAGAAATAACAACAGCGGGAGATGATATCGATTCGCCGGGCTCGCCTTTCCTTCCCGGCATGCCTGAGGGTCCTGTGCCTCCTTTCTGACCTTTGGTTCCAGAGTCTCCCTTTAATCCCACAGGTCCCATAATGCCTTGCTTGCCGCTCCTTCCTGGCGATCCCATAATACCTTGATCTCCTTTGTGTCCAGTTCTTCCTTTCTGTCCTCTTCGTCCCCGGGCTCCTTTTGTCCCACGTGGACCGGGAGGGCCTGGAGGACCTGACGAACACGTGACACCTTTGGACTGACAGAGATACAATCTCCCGGATGATAAGAGTTTGTTTATTTGGAGCATCGTTTCCGCTGTGCTGTCAGCTTCAGACGCGTTCTTAGTTAATACAACGTGACGGCTCTTTCTATGGAGTCTTTGAATTTCTACCAACAAAAGGAAATAGTATTGGAATGAAATAAATTCTACATTTTTATAGCTACCATGGCGAGAAAGAAGACTCTCCTTTTTTCAGGTTATTAACTGATCATTAAATAGAAAACCATTTACTTTTCAACATTAGGAATAAAACAAAACCTATTGAATGTCTTTTTTACAACCCTACAAGGCCTGTACTTAATCCTGTTTGTTTTAAACATGAAAAATGACTGATGCTTTGTTACATTACACTTTTAACACTTTTTATTTGAGACAAATTAAGGTTACATGTGTGTAATAACCGCTGACGCAGAAAATCTCTCACAACCGACAGCGAGTTTCGTTGTGCTGATTTGTTCCTGGTCATTAGCTCATATTTGATATGATTAAAGGCAATTTCGTACGAATGATTACTTTTCTTCTGAAATTCAGTGTCAGCAATTAATTTGAAAGAACTCGACCTTTTAACCTCCGGGTTCGTTTGCCACAACAAACAGGAAGCAGTGAGAAGTGCGACAACACGCAATCAGGCTCTTTGAATAACATTTGGTCGTTTTTAAGTTACCATCACGAATAAAACAAAAACATGGTGGTAACTCCTGGCTCGTACTTTATCAAGATCAACTTACCAGGAGCTTTCTTGATTTTCATGTCTGCGTCGTTTGACTTCGGATTGGCCTCTGCAACGTTTTCAAGAGTGTTTATTCTGTTCTTCTGCTCGTTCATCTCCAGTTCTACTCTTATAAACCCAACACAGTAAAACACAATAGACAAAACAGAAATGATGGAAGAAAACGAAGGCAATGTCTGCTTTTGAACGGCGGCCATTTCGGTCGGTGATTTGAACAATCTGGAATTCTGCTTCAGCTCGTTACGTGATACTGAGATCACGAGATCACGAGTATACACTGAAAAGTGCCAAGATTTCTGCTGTTTACATACCATAAGCTCAAATTCGTTTACGATTTGAAATGCTATTGGTTTTCAGTGTGGTATTTTAGTATGTGTTGAAAGACTCAAAATTGTCTAGATTAAAAGCTGTCGGGATTTCCGGAGTACACCATCACACAGGAAGTACATTTGCAGACAAAAACTTCACATTACCCGAGTCAGAGCAGCAAGTCAACAGGAATTTTGGATCGTTTTTTATAGGGAGTGTGAACCAGTACAAATTCTGTAAAGAATAAGTTTCTTCGCTGAGAACGGCAATGCTAAACCCACTCAACAGGGGTAACAAAGTTCAAATCCGTCCGGAGCTGTTGAGATTTGCTGGCCTCAAATTATACGGGGAGGGGACTGGGTCACACTGGGTGCGCGGTGAGACCACACGTGCTAATTTTTGGCACATATAGGCCTCACGCAAGTTTCACGTATCCCACGTTTATTTTCTCATTCATTCAAAATCTGTACGTATTTGTGATGGCCATGCTTTGCCAGAGTAACGTTGGCTTGAGACAATCATATAAATTACATATTTAAGCGTAAAGATAAAGAGGTCTTGAACCCTGAGCGAGTCACTGTGTTGTGTTCATTGGCAAGACAGTTCGTTCTATCAAAGTTCTATTCAGCTATTATTTATTGAGTACAGTAAAAACCCACGAGTAAGAACCTAGATTTTAAGAATCTGCTAGGCCAAAATTTGCGAGTTAGACCCCGCTGTGCAAGAACCTGTTTAGCCTAAAATTTCAAACAGGTTCTTATTTTCTGAATCATGGGTAAAAATCCACTAAATTGGACAAATATATAGCATTTTGCCATCTTTTATACACTGTTAATGCTGAGAAAGCATGTAATGTTTTGTACAAAGGTAAGACTTCCGCATGACCATTTGTGTGGTAAGCATTTCTTTTTTTAATATAAGTCATTATTGCATAAAATAATAAATACTTATTACGCTAATTTTATGTAAGGGATAGGCTGAAAAGTACTAAATTTGAAAGCTCAACTGGAATTATTTTCTTAAGAATATAAGAACCCCTTTAAGGCTTAAGTAAACTAAATGTTTGTTAAATACCATTTATGTAGGAACCTGTTTAGGGTAATTTGGGAAAATACAGGTTCTTACTCACAGATTATTGTACCTGCAATCTTGGGGGATAACTTGAAAACATGCTTGGGATATGATAATAGAGGATATAGCATTCTCTGGTAAAAAAAAAGTACTTAAAAACATAAGCTTTCAACAGCCGGTCTACCGTCTTCAACGGATAAAAATTTGTGATAAAATGAAACATCAAAAATTGGAATATAGAGAGCAAATCACATATCATAAAAAATTTGAATATAGAGAGTAAATCACATATCATAAGAAAGAAATTGCCACCACCACCTACACCAACACCAGAGGAATTAGTTGGTAATAGTGTATGTTCTTCAAATGGGCTGACCCATCGAGGTGACAGAGTTTTGCATTCCTTCTCTACATCAAGAGCGTTACTGAGCCACTCACTCGGATTTTTAAGAGGCATGACATTCAAGTCTTCAAGAAACCAACAAAAACACCACAATAAGATTTTCCTGTTCCCAAGTTTCGACCTCCTATTAAAAGGCAATCAGTGCAATGTTATTTACAAAATCATGTCAATCGAATTACATCAGTGAAACTAAAGGATCATTTAGCACCAGAAGAAAAGAAGATATTAGAAATACAAAACAATGTGCTTAAGGCTCCAATGTTGCTAAACATGCATAGAGTTTTGACCACGTAATTGACTTTGACAACTCCACAATCATTGACAAACGAAACCATTGCACCAGAAAGACACTGGAATCATGGCACATGGCAAAAACTGTTGAGGCTGATAATAACTCATGCCCACTCCCAAGACAATACAACACTCTTTTACACAAACATTAATTTTAACACTTTTAGCATTCTTTTGAACATTCTTTATACCTATAGTAATTTTAAATTTATGCGATTTACTCTCTATATTCAAATTTCTAACATTTAATTTTATCACAACTTTCATCTGTCAAAGACAGTAGACCGGTTGTTGAAAGCTTATGTTTTTAAATACTGTTTACCAGAGAACGCTATATCCTATATTATCATGATCAACCTTGATAAGGGATCTGCCATATTTTTATGCTTTGGGATAGCCTGCAATAGACTAGCATACCGCCCAGAGACATTTCATCTTCCGTTCACAAAACAGTCAGTTTGGTTACCATTTACCTTTTTTTGCAGAGGCACGGTGGCCTCATGGTTAGTGTGTTCGACTCCAGATCAAGTGGGCCAGGATCAAGCCCTGGCCCGAGACATTGTGTTGGGAAAGACACTTAACTCTCACAGTGCCTCTCTCCACCAAGGTGTATAAATGGGTACTGGTTAATTTAATGTTGGAGGTAACCCTTCGATGACTTGCATCCCATCCAGGGGGGAAACGAAAAACTCCAAATCGTGTCATGCTACTGAAACCAGAGATAAGCGCTGGCCTGATGGGCTACTTGGCTCATATGTAGACTTTCCCAACCTACCTTTTCACTCAAGTCAGCATCCACAGCAGCTGTTCCGTCATTCAGTTTTACAGTTATATTCCACTCTGACGACAAGGGATCAGGACGAGATAACAATGTGGCAATGTATGCCTGAGTGAAATGAGAGAATAAACAAGAGTTACTCTAAAAAAAGGAAATGATATGTGGTTAAATTGAAGGCAGTGTTAGAAAAAGTGTTTGGCATCTAAATTCTTCCAACAAAAAAAATGAAACTACATAAAGGAAGAAAATGCATTTGACTTTGGTTATATTTGAAATATTAGATGCATGACTGGCAGCAACTATGTGTTTATACTAAATACAAACCTTGATCCTAACAATATGCTTGTCTCTGGCTGGATGCTGTTTCAGCACCTCTGATAGATACTCAAAAGGTGCTGAATTTCTTCCCTGGTCTGTGGCATTGTTAACAAAATAAAAAAACAACTTCAGTTTTTGATGTCAAATGTTATGATGCTTACCGTCTAATTCAATATCAGATTTGACATAGAATGACAGAATAGCCAAGTGCCTGGGGTCTTCTTGGCATTCAAATGGAGGGGAGGGGGTACTCCCAGAAAAATTGGGTGGGAATGTGTGACCGGCTTCCCATTAACCCTTACCCTATTTAAGACCAAAATCTACAATTTTCCCTATCCTATTTATGACCTTACCAAAAATTTGATACCCCATTGAAGACCTGACCCTTAAATCAATACCCTGTTTTGGACCTGCCTTATAATTTGTTCCCTAGTTCAGACCAATGTTAAAGGCATTGTGAAGGGCATTTATTGAAAAAGCTTCTTCTAGAAAACGTACCCAATTCAAGACTACATGTAGAGGTAAAACCATACCCTATTTGAGACCAACATGGCTTAAATCGATACCCTACTTCTGACCAAAATGGCTAAAAAACCATACCCTTTGGGGACGCACATTATGATGCCTATAAAGCTCATAGAAGGGAGTACCCCCCCTCCAGGATTAGATGTATGACTGGCTCCACCTCCTTGTGAGAAATTCATTGAGCTTCTTAAATGCCATTCCTTTAAAAAGTTTTGGCCTTTGTTTTGACCCTCTGTTGGTGGGTATGGATATATCACACTTAACTATTGAGGAGACCCTGCTGAAAAAGTCAAATTGCCAGTGGAGCAACAAATCAATATGAGGGATCGTTGTAGCATTGTGTTGCCTTAACAATGACTTTTCACCTTATTGTACATGTACACTTAAGTCTGGTTATGACTAGTGCATAAGCAGAGGCCTTAGCAACATACGCCAATTCAGTATTGAGTAAGACGTTTAACTTAGTAATCTGCACCTTTTGTTAGGTCAGTTTCCTCACAAAAGGTGCTTTTTAACAGCACCTTATTGCCTCTGT